CCCCAAAACCCCAAAACCCCAAAACCCCGTATCATTACCCGAAATTGAAAATGCTGCAACCATCCCTCAAAGAATTTAACGAGTGGTTAAGTGAGTTTATCATCGAGATAAAGCAAGGTGATGACCTACAGATTCCTGGCACAAAAACTGCAATTATTGGTGATGATCTAAAGGAAATATTGAAGCAATGCACACTTGGCAATAAACCAAAGTTGAACACTCTGGTTTCACAGACAGATTCCACCTCTAAAGAGAGTGATGTTGTTTGTCCAAATGCTCCCAAACATATGGGCAAAGCCACAGATAAAGATATTAACTGAATTCTTGACTGCTCCAAAGCCGCACTTTGGGGTAAGAAAGGGAGTAATATTCGTCAGAATATTGAAGAAGCTAGGAATCTAGAGCCTCAAATTGATCAGGATGGTCTTGACTCCTTATCCCATGACCCATTCTACAAAGATCTAATTGAAAAAGAGCAAATGCAGGAACAAGAAGAAGCAGAAAAATCCGAGAAGGCTAAAGAGAATGCTATCGTGCCTAACCCTCTTCTCTTAGAAGAGCAAGGGTAAGGATGTCAAGACTAAGACTCTGACTTTTGAGATGATTGCAATGAACCGTTTCACCATGAGGCTCAATTTCTACATGTCCAACAACATTGTGTCAATAGCAAAGAGATATGATGGAAAATTTGATACAGAAAAGAAGGAGTGGGTTTTGCATATGAAGAAGTATAAAGAATGTGCTGAGGAGATTATTGCACATCTCAAGCCAAAAGATATCAACATAAGCGTCATCCCTCAATTTGTCTTCGAGCTTCTTGAGTATAAAATCCCGTTCTCAAATCCAACCCTAAGTAGTATAATTGATTATGACTATACTCTTGATGAACGATACAGAGTTGATTTTGAAAATTTATCGCCTAAAATCAAGGATTCTTTATACGATTTTCAAATCCAAGGAGTCAAATTCGGCATCAAAAATTATGGAAGAGTTCTAGTTGGAGATGAGATGGGTGTCGGAAAGACAATACAAAGCCTAGCTATAGCTTATCTATATCGGAAAGATTGGCCTTTACTTGTGATATGACCTTCCTCCCTCAAACTTACATGGAGAGATGAAATATTCAAATGGCTTGAAAACTTTACAGATGATGATATTCAAGTGTTTAACAAAGGTATGGAGCAATTCAAGCCCAATGCCCTGATCTACATCATGAGCTACACTTTAGCGGCTAGGTTAGCTGAAAGTATCTCAACTAAAGAATTCGGAGTGGTCATTGCTGATGAAGCTCATTACCTAAAAAGCAGAGATTCCAAGAGATCTCAAAACCTCGTCCCTATAATAATGAAATCTAAGCGAATTCTTTTGCTCACAGGTACTCCTATCTTAGCACGACCGAATGAGTTGTACAATCTCATTCGAATTTTGAGGCCTGATATCTTTCGTAATTTCAAAGATTTTGGAAATAGATATTGAGATCCAAAACCGGGATTTTTCAAGATGGACTGGACTGGAAATGACAACAAAAGGGAGATCTACTTTCTCATAAATCAACGGATGATGATACGGCGGCTCAAGAGTGAAGTACTAACCCAATTGCCTAGCAAAAGGCGTCAGAAAATCTCAATTCTGACCGATCTCACAATTTCAAAGAAGATCGGAAAACTTCTGAACAAAGTCAAGAATTGGGACGAAGACGTAGAAGAACGTCAGAGAGAGGAAGATAGACGGAAAGAAGAATTAAGCAAGCGGATTAATAATTATGAGTTTGATAAACTAATGGGTGAGCTCAAAGATATAGAAAATCCATACCTCAATGCCCTCCATGACAGACATGGGTGTATTGTAAATGCATATAAGATGACCGGTGAAGCTAAGACTAAAGGCATTGTCGAGTTTGTAGCCACCTGACTTGAAAGTAAGTATTTTAGTCCTGATTATTTATTTAGATTCACTCAAATTCATCATTTTTGCACACCATCTGGAAGTACTAGATGCTATTGAAGATGAAGTTATTAAACACGAAACTTCTTATATTAGAATTGATGGAAGGATTGATACTGAAAAAAGGCACCAAGCTGTTGAAAAGTTTCAGTCAGATCCAAATTGCCTGGTAGCAGTTCTATCCCTCACAGCTTCTTCCACAGGAATCACTCTTACAGCAGCCAGTACAGTTGTATTTGCAGAGATGAACTGGACTCCAGGAATAATGGTCCAAGCAGAAGACAGAGTCCACAGAATTGGTCAAGTTAACTCAGTCAATGTCTACTATCTCTATGGTGAAAAGACTCTTGACCAACTAATCTACCCACGCTTAAAGCTAAAATCTGAAGTTATCTCAAACTGCCTCGATGGAGAAGAAGCAAATTTTGAGATTGAAAACACTGAAAAAGATGACGAGCACGAAGAAGAGCGTAAAAAATATAGAGAAGCAAAAGAGCAGAGACGGAAACAACGCAAAGAAGACAGCATCCGAAGGCACCAACAAAGAGTAGATAAAGTCTGTGGTGATGATGAAGAAGTCAGTTTTGAACAGACAAATATCTCAGATTTCTTCTTTCAAAACACTGTGAACAACAACAGAAAAAGGATGAAGATATCTCTACCTCTGCCAGGAGCTGGTTTGCAAGGAGACCCGGAACAGGTAGACTCTAGCAGCTCTGACTCTGACAGATCTTGGGAGGAGCTACCCTCCCCCACTCTTAAAGGAATCCCTGAAGACCAAGAGAAGGAAGAATGTCTTATAGATATTCAGCAAGACGACTGGGAAGAAGGCAATGAGAAAAAATGGAGAGATTATGGTCAAAAAAGATACAGGCTTAAGAAGATCATGAAAGAAGAGGAATGGGACTCTAGAGATTTCAGGAAGAGGCATTTCGGGAATAAGAATTGGAATTATAAGAAGAAAATGGGGAATAAAGGATATTATCGCCCAGCAAGGAAAAATCAACTTCCAGCACCCCAAGATCCTGAGGATTGCAATAATATGGGTCATGTAGCACGGATAGAGAATGAGATTGAAGAAGAGAGAGCGATTCAGGAGAATAATAAGAGGCTCCAAAAGGGACTTGAGCATAATATGTTTGACACTACAGAGTCAAATCCTCAAAATTTCCAGAAGCATTCGAAAACTAAACAAATTAATCAAAAAGATCAGTTTTCAGGGAGTTATATATCCAAGAGATCATATTATCATAACAAAAATCAAACTTCAAATTCTCAAGTGCTAAAGGTGAAAGATAATAATACAAATGTTGACTTTGTTATCTCTCTTGGAGAAACAGCAAAGTAGACTATCTATCAAGCAAATCATTAGTAAATTAATTTTGATAAAATCATGCTAAAATTTCAAACCCTTGAGGTATATCTAAATCATTAAGATACAGTCAACCAGCTTGCTAGTGGATTCAACCATATCATTAAGATACCAATCCATAATTGTGATTTTTCTATGAGAAGATACATCAAAAAGATCAAGAGGTAACCATATTATCTATCACTTTCAAACTAGATTTAGGCATGGAGTATTAATCACTAAGATTTTCAACTAAAAAATAATCCTAAGGGGTTTTGGGGTTTTGGGGTTTTGGGG